TTGGCCATGTTCCCAGTGGTGAGGCATTTTGTCTACACAGTTGTGCAGCCACACAGCCATTGCCCTGCAGAGTGCCATGCTTTGCTAGCCATGGCCATGGCTATAGACCAGGTACATGATGGCAACCAAGCAGGTGTCACTACTAGGGCCAGCCTTTTGGCTGCCATGGGAGAGGCCATTGATCAGTTTGCCAGAGCTTTTGACACACCATTAATCAAAAAGTGGCATTGGATGCTCCACTTGCCAGATTCATTAGCCAGGCATGGTCTCTTGCCAAATTGCTTTGATTCAGAAAGGAAGCACAAGCCCATTGGTGCTTTGGCAAACAACTTGCAGAACCAAAACAACTTTGAACAGCATCTCTTGGGCCAAGTAGTAGCCAAGGAAATCAGCATCCTGGACCAGCCCAATCTGTTTCCAGAAGGTGTTTTTCTTCTGAAAGCCAAAGGTGCTTCAAAGAAAGTGCTTGCCAACTTGAATTTGTTCCTGGAGACACCTGTTGACCAAGCCTTGAGCTCACAGTTTGCCAAAGTAAGGGGTGCCACTTGCAGTTCAGGCGATGTTGTGTTGTACCATGTTGGCAGCCATGTGCACCCACCTTGGCAAGTTGCAGAAATCAAGCTCCATTTTGATTTCCAAGGCCATGCCACAACTTTGGTCAATGTATGGGATTTGCAACAATATCTCCCAAGCAAGCAATATGCTATTTGCACTGCATCCACAAACATGGGATTCATTCCCACAGAAGACACCTTGGCACCAGTGATTTGGAGCAAAAATAACACAGAAGCCAAAGTGCTCTTGCCCTACCAAATCTACAGCAAAGATTTGTGAGAAAATTGTACTATTGCAGCAACTTTTTTGGCCAAGTGGCAATGCACAAGGGGCATTTCAATGTGTTCTTGACCACACATGGCCTTTTTTGGCATTGCCTTTTTTGGCATTTCAATGTGTTCTGTTTTTGACCACACATGGCTCCATGAGATACATTCCAGCCATTTTGAACTCAAGGAACACCATGCACGGCCACTGACAGCCTCCAGCTTCGATTAAGCCACCATGGGCCAAGTGCTGGGGAGCCAAGATGAAGAAGACCACCAAGAAGCTGCCAACCAAGAAGGGGTAGACCAGTATGGCAGACCCATGGCGTTCTACAGGCCAGGCCCACCAATCACCATTGATTTGACCAAATTGGTGGAAGGTGGAAACCCAGAGTGGTGGTGCCAGAAGTGTTCTACAAGTGGATGCTGGTCTTGGATTTGGCTCACCAAGACCAGGCATCCAGCCTACCAAACCTGCAGTGAGTGTGGGAAACCATGGGTGCTCAGTTTCCAAGAAATTGGGCCCCATTACACAGATGGCATTCCCAGCTGAAAGCCACACCAAGGCAATGACCATGGGCTCACAAAAAAACTGAAAGCCAAACCAAGGCAATGGCCATGGTGCTTCTTCCCAGAAACCAAGCAAAACAGAGGGCCGCCATGAGCTGCAATTGTTGTGCCTTGTTTTTGGCAATGAACTTCTCATTCCATCGCCCCTCTCATTCCATCAACAACATCATGCTGGCTAACCATGATGTTTATGGCCATTTTTGGCAATGATATTTCTAATTTTGGTGCAAACATGTTTTTTTCTAGGCCAATATGTTTGGTTGGAGATATGCAATGCCGCCAATCAAAGTTGTCACATGTTCCTATATTGTTTTTTCCTGGTGACATGGCTAGCTTTCCAACCTTTGATGTGAATGTTTTCATTTGCAAATAAAAGGGCATTTACTCCATACATTGGTGCTATCTTGCTCATCAGCTTTTCTTTTTTTGCAGAGATGCGCTTGTCATCTTGTGACAAGAAAGAACAGTATGTGCCAGAAGTTTACCAGTAACCTTTTTTTCTACCACACAAAGCTGCTTGTCCTGGTTTAAAAAAATGCAAAAAAATAATAAATCTAATTGAAAATTCTAGAACAGAAAACGTAAAATCATCAATTTTTTCAGCCAAAAAAAAGAGTTAGACCCTAGTTATAACTTTTACGTAACTACCATAACTAACATAACATGTTATAAAAATCCGCAGAATGTAAGTAGAACCATCCCTCAGACCAAGTGCTGTCACACCATTTCCCTTGGGAGATGGAGGTTTCACCCGTGCCCGAGGGCACCGAGTCCTTGGTTTGCTGAACTTTCCCTTTGTCCTGCTTGAACCTCTGGTAACACTTGGCGGCGCCATGGCCTGCCTTTCCACAAATCTGACACGGTTCCTTGGGAGGCTGTTGGGTCTTGCCCTTCTGGCTGTCTCCCTTGGACTTTCCCTTAGCGTCCTTGCCCCCTTTGCCCTTTCCTTTGGAACCTTGTTGGCCCTTGGCCCAACATTCCCCCTTGTGAGACTTCCCACAATGCTTGCACTGCGGCTTGTCTCCTTTGCCTCCCTTGCCTTTTCCTTTGGCTTGGATGGCATCCACTTCCATGGGGATGGCTCCACTGTAGATGGCTTCGGGCTTCAACGCTTGGAAGCTTCGATCTGCCACTTCATACTCAGCCACTGCCTTCTTCACCTGTTCATAGGTGACTCTCTCTTTTACCAGGAGCGTGGCATGAACCTTAAGTTCTGCCGGCAACAGCTTCCTCAGAGTGGCAATCTTCAGGCTTTCTCCCAGCTTCTCCTTGGAGGACGCCTCATAGTCTTCAAAGAGACGTCCAACAGCTAGGATGGAATCACGAAGTGGTGTTCCACGTGGTGGCTCAGGAATCGATAGGATCGTCTCCAACAATCTAATGGCAGCTGCACCTGATGCTGGCTCGATCTCATGTTGGAACAGCCTCAGGGCTTCAAACCCGTTTGAGTTGGCTGCCAGCCGAGGATTCTTCAAAATCACCAGAAGTCGACCCTTCACCAGGCCCGACAGACAGGTATTGGAACCAGGCCACTGGCCTTGGTTTGCTTGATCTCGGTCAAGGGTGCTGTTGCAGCTTCTGCTGCCGCAGTGGCAGCAGCCAATGCTGCCTGCATTGCAGCTGCTTGGGCCATGTTGGCCTCAGGTGCAGCTCACTGGCTCAAACCAGGCAGCTCCGCTACCATGCAAGGATTGACGGTAGCTGCCAGCACGTATTGGGCTCCTTTTTCTTCTCGCAGCGCGTGGCTGCTACTAGGGATGGGTACAAGACCTATCCCTTGAAGTTGAAAAAGGGCTGCAGGTGTATGGACATGCCATGTTATAGCAAATTCCAACATTATACATACTATATGCATATAATATAATATAATATAATATATATATGTAATATTATATATATTTATTTATTTATGTATTTATTTATAATATATATATATGTATGTATGTAATATAATATATATAATTATATGTAATATAATATATAAATATTATATATATATATGTAATATTATATATATATGTAATATATATATATGTATATATTTAATAATATAATATATATATATATTATCATGATATTCTACCTGACATCCTTTTTGGCATATATTCTGACATTCTTTCCGACATTCTACAGTATCTGGTATATCTTCGGAGATTCTTTGTGGTTGAGGTCCGGTAGGGAACACTCTGATCCGGAGCTCGCGGTGGAGGTCCGATGGAGGAGGAGGAGAAGGACGAGGAGGCGGCGGGCCAGCTGACATAGCATCTAACAGCCCTCATCTGACAGGTGGGGAAAAACACATGCACTCGACACGACTCACTGAAAGAATCGAATGAAGTTAGGGCATCTATGTAAGAGCGGACGGCAGCAATATTGAATCATTAGAGGACCAATATGGAACCATGACCATGTCAAGTCTTCCTAGACAGGCAAAGAAGGAAAATTTAAAATAGAAATTGTTGGGTACAAGTAAAGCAAGAAGTTGGGAAATCAAAAAGGATAAAAGACGATAAAAGACGTAGATGTACCACAGAAAAGAGATTACAGGCAAATTGGATGGAGAGTCGTCGGGTAGAGATAAGTTTGATGGATAAGGTAGACTGGAGATAAGTTTGATAGATATTAAGTCTGACAGAGATAATTTTGGTAGAGCAATGTTTGATACAGCAAAGCTCGCGAGACAAGTTTACAACAGGAAAGTTCAATGGAGGTATAAGACTAATGACTAATAGAGAAAAGTTGGTAAGTTTGATAGAGATAAGTGAAAGTCTGATAGAGGTGAGTTTAATGGAGATTAGTTCAATAGATATGTCGCGGATAAAAAACGGATGGAGATAAGATTGATAGAGTGAAGTTTGACAGAGATCGACAGAGGTAAGGCAAGTCTGATGATGAAAGTAAAATTGATAAAGTTGAGTTTGACAGAGTCAAGTTTGGAGTAGTTAAGTTTGATAGACGTAAGTTTGGTCGAGATAAGGTCGGTAAAGACAAGCTTCATGGATCAAATCTGGATACAGGCAAGTTCGATATAGACAAGTTGGGCGGAGGTAAGTTTGAGGTAAGTCAAATAGAGGTGACTTGATAGGAGAAGTGTGAGAGGTAAAGTTGATAGACTCAAGTTTGATGGAGATACGTTTGGTAGAGGTAAGTTTGATAGAGATAGTAGATAAGTTTGGTGGTGATAAGGTTCGTGGAGTTCAGTTTGGTAGGAGTAATGGTGAGGATGGAGGAATAGAAGCAAGGCGACGCTGAGTGGCGTCCCAACACGCACAATAGCAATAGCAAACCTGTGTAAAGACCCACTAACAGCCACGGGCCACGCCCACAAAAAGAAAAGAAACAACGAAGAACTCACCTGTGAGAATAAGATCAATAGCCTCAATAGCCAATTTGATGCGTCGTTTGTTTCGACTCCGAATCTGCGCCTTGTTGGTCCCAAACTGCAGCCCGATGCACCATCTGAAGGAGGAAATCCTCTGGAACCACCGGTCCCTTCAAAGCCTCAGCCGTGAAGAAAGGGGATTTAGACATGAAGTCACTTGACCCAATCTGATGCCATGGTTTTGTCATGTTTTGTCAATCCAAGTGGTCCAAGCCCCATAACTGGAATCAAAAGGGGTTTAGTGTGGACATGGGACGTGCCCAGCAACTCTTATCGACAAAATGTCTTCGGCATCTGGGACCGTATCCTCCCAAGCTGTCCACAAACCTCGAGTGCAAACAGGACACCGTCTTCAGCTCCTCTGTGGAAAATTCTGCAAAGAGAAAGGTCTGCGGCAACGACTGAAAGGTTTCCAGTGAGACTTCCACGTCTGCGAGAAGAGTTTCAATCTGGGGGTCGGCAGTACTTTTGATCCGGCACAGCTCCTTGACGAAGCTTTCATGAGTGTCCACAATCGTGAGGAAAACGTCCAAATCATGGAATCTCGGCAGGTCCAGCGGAATTTCTGAGAGCGGAAAGGTTTTCATCCAAGAGCCCAAAAGAGCTTCAATCTCCTTCCTCTTTTTGTGCTTGTCCTCCGCCACCTTGTTCAAATGCACCCCAAAACGCCGGGCAAGAGGGACTCCAGCATAAACAGCAATTGCGCAAACTGCAAGTGTGGCAAAAATCGTCAGAAGTGGCAGAGAGATGTAGTACATCGCGGGTGCAAGCCTTTGTGCTTCACGAGTTCCAAACATTTCGAAAGCTCGGCATTGGGCTGAGAATTTCACCGAAGTAAATGCGGGCACGGCAGCCGCAATGTCAAACATCACTGCCATTGCGTGCGTCGCTGCTGGTGGCCATTGCAATCTCACATTGGCAACGATATCACTGACATCCGTGTTGTCTCTACTGACATCCATGCTGTCCAGCACAGTTTCAATCAGCGTCACGTTTTGTCCAGCACAGTCGTCGGTACTACCTGCGGAGGATTGCATGAATGGTGTTTCCATCATTTCCATATTAAAGTGGGTGATCAAAGCACATGCTGTAGCCCACTGCGTGAGGACACGGATCATGCATGTATGAAGAGGAAGGTTCGCATTGGCCGAATCCATTGCAGCTAGAGACGCAAGGAGGAAATTCAAGCCTGCAATTTTGCTGAGTTCGGACAAAATTGCAAAGCTCAACTGCCAACCCGCAATTCCTGTCCAGCAAGCCTCACAGGGACTTAGGTCAGCAAATCTGGCCCAGCCAACTGGACACTCCCCGCATAGCATTCCGGCGGTTCCTTCTCCACATTGGTTGCCACCACGGCAAGCGCTGGATCCATCTGGCAGCACCACGCGGCACTTTGTAGCAACCGCATTTCCAGTTTGGAAAAATCCGAAGGCTGCTCTCGGTTGCAAGTGATCACCGGCATTGCTCGAATTCGCATCAAACCCGCCTAGGCAGACTAATCCCACATAAGAGGCGCAGCTGGCACAGCGATCCAAGCCATTTTCGCCCAGTATTGCGTGGTGATTGATGCTGCAAAAGCAATTCTGCAAAGAGGTAGCACCAAGATCGCTGTCAGCATTGGCTGGACATAGCTGTGTGCAACTTGCATTCCCAGCAATTTCTTTATACCTTCCTCTGCCACATGGCTCACAACTGCTGCCATTTGAAAAATACCCCGCTACACAAACACAACTGTCACTTGTTGTGGCAGAAGCGGCCAGGCTTTGCGTGTTAGGGGGGCATTCTTGGCGTTCTCCTGTTCCTGGGCAGAAAAAACCTGGTGTGCAATCAACACATTGGCCTTCCTCTTCAAAGGTGCCCTTTTGGCAAAGGCAATCTGCGATTGATGTGCTTCCAGCTTTCAAAGTGCTTTTCCTAGCTGCACACTGCTGGCAATTTTCGTTGCCGATTGTATTCTTATACTGCCCAGGTGTGCAAGCACTGCAGCTCTTGCTGTCTTGGATATATTCATAGCCACTTTTGCACACACAATCTTCGACATCTCGAACGCTGACTCCAGGTGGTACCAATGCATTCTCTGGGCATGTCAAGGGCAGCAGGGACACCGAAGCGTTGGATGCCTTCACATCTACGATGTCAAGTGCTTCATCATTCCGTAAGACTTCCAAAATGGCATCTGATGTGATGACAAGATCTAATTCTTGGGAGGATGCATCAGCCTCTTGCATAGTCATGTATGTGAGTGTGACAGTCAATATCTGTTGAGTTGACAGGCGTCGCGTGGACGGTTTGGCGCTGTCCGCAAGCTCTACTGTTGTGATGGCACTCGTGCCCAACATTCCACGCACAGCTGATGCCACCGTTCCACTGAGGGTCTCGGAAGCACCGTTGGCAATGATGGAAACACTGAAAGTGACAACTGGCACCTCAAATGTGCTGGACAGTGACTCATTCAACTCAGACTCACCGGTGGCAGAGGCCAACTTCTCTTCTGCAACGCATGAATTGTTGGAAAGCGCTTTTGAAGAAAATGTCGTGGTGTTCTCTGGGCACGGTGTGCACTGTTGATTTGCGGTCAAACTTTTGAAAGAACCCCGTGTGCATTCTGTGCATTGACCATCAACAAAGCCATATCCAGGCATGCATACACATGAAGCGCTTGAAACTGAACTCCACTGCAGGGTAGTCTCTCCCACTCCACAGGCAATTTTTTTTGCATCATTAGCG